ATGTAGTGTAAAGCGCTTTGGGGTCCATAGGGACTAAGTAAAGCGCTATACAAATACAGGTGTCATACATGAAACATCTCATGATGGGTAAAACCAGTGAGCTCTCTCATGAAGGTACTGGTTACAGAAGAATTTTTAAACTGCTAAAGGTATCATGGTATGGGGCAGTTCTTCATCATATGGCACTAGCATGCCTCATATAACTGAAGGAGACATTCTTGATTAAAAAAAGAAAATCTGCTGCCATCTACCAGGATGATGAACATTAAATAAGGATGTTTCACACAGGACAATGAGACGATGATGCTGCTAGAATCCAATCACCTGACCTGAATCCAGCTGAAAATCTATGGAAAGAACTAAAGACTGTGTCAATTTTTATTATTACGCAAAACTTAATTTATTGACATCTATGGTTTGATTTCTCTTGGCATGTACAGATTGGATGGGATGTGACTGACTTCTGCTGAGAATTTCTGTCAACAGCACTTTTAGAAATATTTTTTTTTTAGAAAATAGGTGACGTCTTCAATATTTATTTTGCCTGCTGTAAATATAATTTGTAAATCCTACTAGTACTAGGACACGTCTTGCCACATGAAGAAAGAAAGCAAGCAACATCAAGATCTGATTTCGTCTTTGCTGGCATGTTCCCACACACAGCTGCTACTGACCAGATATCTTTCAGAGGAGACGCTGACCAGGATGAGATCATCTCCCACTCTAACCTTTTCTCCCTCCGAGCGCTGCTTTGATGCTGGATGGATGGTCCACCAGCATGCCTCGCCTACACACACACACACACACATCATCATCATCATCAGTATTACAGGAGATAAAGCAGCGATGTGTCCATGAAAAACAAACTTGTGTCCATTTCCTTGCTGGGTGTGCACCACTTTGGTTCAACCCCGAAACTGTTGTAATTTCCATGACTTTTAAAAAGAGAGCTCAGCAATAAGGCAGACAGTAGATCTCGGTGTGGTGCATTATGTTTCTCCACAGCAGCTTTCATTTATCAGCAGTCAGACTCTATAATAACACCGAGTTTCATTCCAGTAATGATGTCAAGAAACTAAAAGCAAACAGCAGCATGACACACAAAACAGACGTTTTGCTGAACTTGTTCTCGCTAATACAGCTATACAGGAGGGTGTGGGGGGTGTATATGATATTTAACATATAACAACTTTATTTTGTTGAAGCTAGTTGATGTTTACACTCTGCGTAACACTCCTTTATCCAAAATTCACAACTGGTGAATTTTTAAAGAAAGTCAACTTTTTGGATTATATGCAATCGTGTGAGCAGTCAAATATTTTCACTTGGGCCAGGCTGGATATTTTACAGTGTTACACAACAAGGACTATCTGAAGTGTTTTTATTTATTATTGTTTTCCATTGTTTTAGCTTTTAAATGAGACACGCTCCTTTCGTTTAGCGGTGGTGCAGATATTTGTACAAAACATAAATACCTGTGGTATCCTCCTGCAGCCCCACGTCAAAAGCCAGTTTGTCTGTGGATGAACGCGAGGTGGACAGGCAGCACAGGTACTAAACAGAGAAACACAAATAAATAAAATGATTTTATCAATCAAATTATCAAGAAATGACAGTACATTCACTGAACCTCTAGAACTGTGCGTGAACATTTAAACATTGTGCAGAGGGATGAATGAAAGGCTTTTCTTCTTCTTATTCCCAACAATGTTACAACATTCATGATAAAAGGATCTGCACTATGTTTTTGGATGTAGTCTGTGTCACTGACCATTCCACTGTAAGAGTGTCGCAGGAGCACAGCATGTCCATACAGTAGAGTCCTATGACCTCCTCCCTGGGCCATCTGAGAGAATTATTGAAAGACAACAACACAGAACGTTAAAAAGACAAATGGCATCAAAGCACACATGTCAATAAACAGGAGAGCTAAGGCTGCCAATACAATAGACACAGGCAGAAATAAAATTTTGGCTTTATATAAAGCAAACAAGATGTTTCATAGCAGCTTAGAGGTACCCTTTGTACAGGGAGTGCAGAATTATTAGGCAAGTTGTATTTTTGAGGAATACTTTTATTGTTGAACAACAACCATGTTCTCAATGAACCCAAAAA